TATTTTAATGATATGTTTAATTCAAAAAATTATTTTAAAAAATCAGTGCAATGTAGAATAACAATATGGGTAACAAATGAGAGGGAAAATTCTGCAGAATTTAAAACAATAAATTTTTTTGGTTTACAAGGACGAATAGGTATTAAAAATGCACTTAAATAAATTTTATCTTTTTAACTTAATAAAGTTTACAGGACGAAATTTGATGATGAGGTCGTGTGTATTTTAGTCCTCAAACAATAATTAAAATATATATGTATCGTAAATTTTCAAGGATATTTAAGCACAAAATTTGTAAATGTCATTTCCATACCCATTCGTCTTAATGCACAAAAAAATTTTTCTGCTATAATTCTACAGAATTTTTTCTTTTATATGATACCGTTATTGTTATTTACGTTGCTCCGAATTTAAAAAAAAAATTTGAAATAATCATATGTTTCAAATTTCAAACTCCTTTTAAAGAAATCCTGACGTAAGAGAGAAAAAATAAGTACGCAGTTTTACTATAATTTACTCATAGTTTCGCGAATATATTATTTTTTTTTTTGTGTGTAAAATTTACGTCGCACATTGTAATCAATCAAAAAGTGAATTTTGTTTGGGTGTTTAGTTGGTTTCGGCTTTTTGTATTTCAGCGACGAAGTTAATGACGCCCTTTCCATACTATACTAACGATATGTATGTATCTACGCATGTATAAAGAAAATAAAAAAATAATATAATTCTTAGATTTTTCGGCTAAATTGTTGCAGCAAGAAAATTGCAACGAATGATATTTCGTATTTCTTGCTGCCAATTTCACAAAAGCAATTGAAATCAAAAATGATTTAAATTTTTTGAATTTTATATGGAAATTGGCAGAAGATAAAAAATAATTTTCCAGTTAAATTGCTGGGGAATTCGGCTATTGATGTCTCTGTTGACGCACCCTGTAAATATTGGAAAGTAATCAAACAATCTGCATTGTGAACGTATGTTTAGAAAATAGCGCAAGTACATACATACTTATCTACATCAATGTCATTTACATACATATGCATGCATGTATCTGCACATATTGTATGGTATGTTTATGGCATGTTTTATTAAATTCGTATAACTAATAGATAGATGGTAGACAATGAATGGAATGTGGGGAAAATGCAGAAAAGTATATACATATGTGTGTAGCTTCGAAGCTTATCGGTACAGATTCAAGCACGAAAGTAATCCCTACTGTGATATCCGCGGAAATTGTACGGAAGAGGGTGCGTTAATATATCCTCTACAATGAAAAAATTAAGGGGTCTTGAAAGGTGCGGTGCGGTGAGGTGAGGTGAGGTGAGGTGAGGTGAGGTGAGGTGAGGTGAGGTGAGG